CAGGTCATTGATGAATAAGTTGAACAACATTGGCCCCAGTATCGATCCCTGGGGAGCACCACTAGCTACAGGCCTCCAACTAGACTCTGCACCACTGACCACAACCCTCTGAGCTCTGCCGTTCTGCCAGTTCTCAATCCACCTCACTGTCCGCTCCTCTAGCCTGCACTTCATCAGCTTGCCTATGAGGATATATGGGAGAGAATGTCAAAAGCTTTACTGAAGTCAAGGTAGACAACAGCCACTGCTCTCCCCTCATCTACCCAGCCAGTCACTCCATCACAGAAAGCGATCAGGCTGGTTAAGCATGATTTCCCCTTTGCGAATCCATTCTGACTACTCCTGATCACCTGTCTTTCACATGCTTGGAAATGTCATTCAAGATTAGCTGGAGGTGAGGCTGACTGGCCTGTAGTTCCCTAGGTTCCTCCTTCTGGCCCTTTTTGAAGACTGGAATGACATTTCCTATCTTCCAGTCCTCAGATACCTCTCCTGATCACCATGACCTTTCATAGCTGATTAAGAGTGGCCTTGCAGTGACATTATCCAGCTTGCTCAGCACTTGTGAGTGTATCCCATCAGGGACCACGGACTTATGTATGTCCACATTTGGTGAGATGCCCCCAAACCATGTGGCAAGGTTAACTATGGAGCTGAGACATGCTTGATCTCCCAGAACGCTTAAAGAAACACTGGAGAAACCCCACTCAACTCTTTGTAGGTCTGGCAGAGAGCACAGCACCACATAGGCCCAACGCTGCCTTGGCTCCACCAAGTGTCCAGCTAACCCAATTGCCATTTTTGAAGCCCCAATAACACATTTCCCCCAAAATTTTGCCATTTAACTCACTGATCCTGATAAAGTACAGAATTAAACTGCAGTGGGTAGATGGAAAATGAGCACTCATACTTATTTTTAACATGGGGCCAAAGTTGCTGATACCAACACATCTGAAATTACAAGTGGCCAACCCTGCCTGTGGAAGAATGCTGTGAATATGAGAGGTGAGGGCCACCATTGCTGGCTAGAATTGGATGTGATGATGGAAGAGTCTGGCACATTTAGATTGCTGGACAGCAGGATGGAGATCATTGTCAAGGAGAAGAGCTCATGTAAGGCTTTCCTGTCTTGGGGAAGGCATGCAGGTTTGGTTTTTTGGGTAGAAAACCAAAAAGCCCAATGGAGTGATAATTTGTCTGGGAGGAATCCACTCTAGGTGTCTGGGTACCCCCATCCTTGTGAAACACTGGCATGATTTGGCTGTCCTTTCGTACTTTGTCCACCAAACTTTTTGCTTTGATGCGTGCCCAGCCTGCAATGCTGTGGCTGCTGTTAATGAAGTACTTTCACAGCTGATAAGCACAGTCTATTTTTGTGTTAGGGAGTGGTCAAGAGGCAGGCAAGCACAGCAGGCACAGCCTTAGTTCAAGGTGGGGGATTTCAGAGCGCTCCGTTGAGCCAAAGCTCTGGACACCAGGTGGGCACCCCAAGGTGGGTGCACTCAGCCCAGTATAGTTGTGCAGTCACAGTCAGGCAAGGGGAACAGGTTAGTGATGGCGCAAGAGTGCCTAGAGTATCTCTGACAACCTGGTGTGACCTTACTCATCTCTCCAAAGCTGCTTCATCTCCCTGGGGGACTCCTACAAGCTCAAGAGATGTTGGGTCTGAGTCAGCCTCTGCTGAACAGCCTGAGGCAGTCATGCCCATAGATGGAGGAGACTGCACTCCCAGGTGGGGAAGAAATGACTTACCGTTGTCGGACAAATCCAGGTCACTGATGGAATTAGCATCAGAGATGAGATCCTGTATGACTTGGGCCCCCGCTGATCTCAGCTTGGAATGAACAGAAACATGTCAGTACAAGGGGGGGCACAGAGCCCTGCAAATGGGAGCCATTCTATCAGGAAGGTCACCTCAGCCCCACAGTGGACAGAGGATGGACTTTCCCATGTGGGAGTGAGCCCTTGCCTCCTCTGTCATGGCCTCTCTGCTTCAGAGATGCCCACCTCTAGGGGTGCAATATGGTGCCCTGGCTTGAACCTATGCCTCCAGCACCCTGCCACTCATGGGTGTTCACCATGCAAAGGATACTCCCTCACCTCACAGCTGCTAAGATCCAGGTGCAGGTCACTGATGCAACTGTTGTATGCCAGTCCTTGCAGCAAAGCCCTGGAAAAGTCACCAGAGCCATTGGCAAGAGCAATGTGGGCACCAGCCGCCTGCCACAGGGCACCCTCCATGGGCTGCAGAGTGGGACCAGGGGGATAGGGAAAGGGTAATTTCCCAGCAGGCAGAGCTCTGTTTCTTGCCACCCTCATCCAATATCCTCACCAGCCCCCTCTAGCTGCAAAGCCCTAAGCCAGGTGCCTCTGGACAAAGCTCAGCCATAATCTGCTGCCCTTGGCAGACCCAGAGCCTCTCCATTGCCCTGATGAGCCTCTCCTGGGATAACAGGGGTGGCTCAGGCCCTAGAGCTGGACTCCATGTGGTTGGACCTCTTGCCAAACTGCTGTTCCCACTTACCTTACAGCGTCTGGAGGCAGCTTGGTACCTGCCAGTGAGACATGCTTGAGGGCACAGGCCTTGCTGAAAAATTGCTTGATGGCAGGAGAGACATCTTTCACCTTTCTGAAAGGAAAACACAAAAGGGCATCATCTTCTGTGCATGCCTGTAGTTGGCACTGGCTGCCCACTGCCTCAGGAGATGCCAGGCAGTCGCTGCCTGCTGGGCCATGTTGAGCAATGGCTGAGCTTCCCTTCCTTTCACCCACTGGGCTTACTTGTGTGAGTACACATTTTTAGAGAGATCCAGATGGACAAGGCTGGTGCAGCATCCATGGGCCAGTACTCCAAAGAGCTGCAGGAGGGGACAAGTTGAGAAATGTCAAGAAGGACCCAGCCAGCACCATAGACCCTCACGCAGCCCCGACCCAAGCCAGATAAGAAAAGGGACAGTGATGATGGTGTGGGATAAACTGTGGGAGGCCCTAAGGCAGGGGGTCAGCCCGTGCTGGGGCTGCTGGCTACCACCATTGCTCCCAGCTCCCTTATCCCTCCTGCTGACGCTGGTGCCTCCCAGCCCACCTAGGCCATGAGATGAAGAACAGCGCATTGCTGAGCTGGCTGCCATCATAGTCCTCTGCACCCACAAGTCCCCTGTCCCTGGGCCTCTGCAGCCCCATACCGCACAGGATGCAAGTAGGGGGATCTAGGAACACCTGTAGGGGTGCAGAACAGTTTCTGGAGCTGGTCATTGGTCACTGTCTGGGCTCTGGAGTCCCCCTGCTTGAATACTCACAGTGTCTAAAGAGCAGTCAGTGCCAGACAGGCTGAGGTGGGAGAGCGAGCTGCACCGGCAGAGGAGGCTCTGCAAACTCTGTGGGGAGAGAGGGCTCAGCATCTTGCCCAGGACCCCTGGTATCCACCCTGGGTACCCTCTGGATCCCCACTCCCCAAGAATCCCAGCCTCCAACTTGGCCAACCTCCTTCCTTCTAATTAGGAAGGAGAAGCGAAGATGGTGATGAATCACACAGTGACCCACATCCCATGCACAGGCCATTTGGTCCCTGGCTTGTCTCCTTGCTCAAGATGTCACCTCTGATCCTTATGTGAGGACAGGGAGGTGTCTCCCCAGCAGAGCACCACAGTTGCTCTCAGGTAGGCAGGGAAATGTCACGGCCACGGCTTTCCGGTGTGCCAAGCATCCTCACCCAAATGCAGCTGGGGATGCTGAGCACCTTGGTTTCAGGCCCTCGAGCAAGAGACACTTGTGAGTGCCTGTGCAACTATGACGCGGGTCTCAGCCCCTGAATGGACCAAGGCCAGCCCTGCCAATCCTCTGATACAAGCAGCAAGGCCACCAGAGGAATGAGTGCGCGCCCATGTGTGCAGGTGACAGTCTGTCCTACACTGTCACAGCATTGACCCTTCTCAGCCCACGGCACTCACACTGGTGTCATCCATGGCCAAGGTGCTGGGGTTGCCGGAGAGGTCCAAGTGCCGGAGGGAAGAGCCGATGGTTTCATTAGCTGCTAGGGCCTGGCATAATGTGCTC